ATACGGTTGAAATTGGTTGACATTGGGGGGGGGGGGGGATGGGGAATTATCCGCTAGATATTCATCTCGCCTTCATGTGCCCGCTTTCTTTTAGTTTCTCTCTCTCTCTCTGCCTGTACCCCGGAGAGGTGGCAACCCAAAGTGATCGAGAGCCGTCCTGGTTCCCGACGTGACGGCGGCACGGAAACTGGGGTGCGAGGGTCACAGGGGACAAGACGTGACCACACACGTGTTTATATATGTGTACTGTGTATATATTTATATTTTAAAAAACAACAACAACGGAGAGAGAACACTCGGAATATTTTAGCACCATCATAGACGAGCTCTTATTACTGTTTTGCGTTGTGCATTTCGTTTAAGAATGCCAGTTGTAAAACAGCTCCGGTGTTTCTCCAGAAAGTCCCTATAAATAATCACACGTGGACTTCCCACTCTACAAATCGAAAGTAATACAGCTGCAGTACTACGGAAGGCATATTCAGAGAGTGCTTAAGGTGCTCAAATATAACTTGCAGTGGGGGGTGGGGTGAGGAGGTTGTACATTTGGGACAAAAAAAAACTTCCGACGGAAACCAATGCCATGCTTGAAACGAAACGCCTCGCTCTAAGAGCGATTGCGCTACCATGAACTCGCCCGACGTGATGCGGTAACATACAAAAAAGTGGACGCCAAAAATCACGACACAAAAGTGGAAAGTAAAAAAGAAACGGTCGTCGTGTGCAATATTTAAATATTTCTCCCAAATTTCTCTTTGGACTAGCACTACGGAGGAGCACATCGGTTTCCGCAACAACAACAAACACAAAAACAACCCCCCCCCCACCAGACGCCCCCGACGTCGTCACTCTGAACTTAGCGCCCCGCGAAGTAACAAAGCAGCCCTTGCCGAGACGTACGGAAGCGACCATTCCCGCGGAGGACATGGGACGGGACACACGGCACGTCAATGTACACGTAAGCGGCGTTGTGCGGCGAGGGGCGGGAGCTCTTACTGGCAAAACACACGGGGGGGGGGGGGAGGAATTTATGGTGCAGCATACCACATGGGTACAGGGGTGGGGGGCTAATGAACCTCACTTATACTCCACTTTGATTAGTAAAGTGAGCAAACCTGGGTAGCCCAGCTACACACACACAGGTGTACACACACACAGGTGTACACACACAGGAGGGGGGGGGGTGCCAAAAATGCTTAGCGCAGTCAAAAAATCTGGGCCAGCAATTTTTTTATATATATAAAACTATAAACTATTTTTTTATTTTACCAGGTAAGGCCCACTGAACTATATACCTCATTTTCAGAAGCAACCTGGCCACAAATGATAGCTCGACGAAGTGGCTTATCAAGTGGAAATTTGTAGCGGCCAAATACTCTAAACGCGTGCTGATTCTAAATGCGGAGGGAAAAACCGGAGGACCCGGAGAAAAATCCACGCGACCACGGGGAGAACATGCAAACTCCAAATATACAGCAGCAGTCGTCAGGGTCTGGATCGAACCCACGACCTCCTGCATACCTGGCGAGGTAGTTAACATCTCCTCGCCACCGTAGCGCCCCGTACCAAACAAGTATAGCCTGGGTCGTCACTCCGTAGAGCCACTCCCGAGACTCCCGGAAGATCGAGCAAAAATGCCTTCCAAATGCCATGCTGACGACGGATGGACACTGGACACAAATGGAGGGTGGACTGGCGAATGGCCAATATTCACTATCGCCGCTGTATATCAAATCTAAATTTGCGGCGCCGGCAAAAATTGTTAAATCTCCGCAAACCTCCAAGCAGTTGGGACTTCAGTCACACATTGGCTTGGCTCGGTATGCGAGTTACATAACCGCACAAGTGGACTTGGAAAGTCAATCAATGTGCAGGCAGACAATGAGATGTAACCAATTACATTATGTAACAGCCTGGGCACTACCATGCTCAGCTCGGCTGATTAAACAAGAAAATTGGAGATCGGACCACAATGTCATTTTTCATCAATGCCCACCTTTGTCAGACAAAAGCCCGCCAGCACTAAACGGGCCACACAGCTGGGCCTCATTGGAGTCAGGGAATGGCTCTTCTGGCTCTTGCTACGATGAATCGACTCTATTGCAGGGGGTGGCTAAACTTCCTGACCCCACGAGCCTCATACCGACATCTTCAAATGGCCGAGAGCGACACGATGCACAATATTTTATACAATAATTCTCTGGCGGAGTGGTCACGCAGGATCGCTCTCGCTGGCTGGCTGTGGTGTTATGAATTCATAGAAATCTGCGGTAGTGCCCTGGGAGTACTCTTGTCTAGCCCTGCTGTCAAGGGCGGAGTGCCCCGGGGGCCGCTGCCTCTTCCACAGATTTCTATTTCCCACCCCCAGTCTCATATGAAGTTGCGTTTAAAAGATGTAAAGCAAGGTCCGACTCTACCAAGTCACTCGTGGGTCACGAGGCGCAGTCTGGCCACCCCCCCCTGGCCGATCATCTGGAAGGGTTGACAAATGGTCAATGTCCTCGGGATGACCTCGGTCACAAATATATGCACTGCTAAGCCCACGGCACAGGGGTAATCGCCTATTATCAACATAAAGGTTCGGCTACGAAGTCGCAATCGACATCTTCCAAAGCCACCTAAACTCGAGCACCATTTGAAATCAGTGTGGGTACCATTGCCTGGACGGCACTTTAATGCACGTCCCACGCATACGTACACGAGAACCCGGAGGGTACCGCCCTACCGCTCCTACTCAACAAACACTCAATGTTCTGCCCCATTCCATTGGTGACTCAACACCCCGCAGAATCCACCGACAGCCTTTTAACAGCCTGCCCCAATGACCCCTACATACACACACACGCGCGCACGCATCCACACACACACACACGTGCAAGCAAAGCAATTATCTCAATACTATTTCCCCCCCACGACCCCAAACCACCCCTAACCCCCCTTCCCCCACTCCCCCCCCCCCCCCATTAAGAGAACGATCAAATTTTTTTGTACCTGATTATTTATTTTTGGAAGTTCTAACGCAGCTATTGTTGTTGATGTCGTAGTTGCAACCAAAGGTTGCCCCCACAACTGCCAGCGTCGGCGTCTCGACGGTGCCTACGAGAATCGTAGGGGCGGTCTGCCGTACGAAACGATAGGCGAGATATCGCGGGACGCTCTTGTGGTGCGGTGGATGGCAATATGCTATACCGGGTGTTCTGCTGCAAATGTCGACTCGATTTGGTGTTTTTGTTGTTGTTGTTGTTTTTCAATCAGGAAGGGGGCAGCCGAGCAATGCTAGCGTCTAACAAAGGCACGGTCCTGCAGTAGCAGCAGCAGCAGCTAGCGAGCTAACGAGCTAGCGAGCTAGCGAGCTCTCGTTGCGTTCCAGGGTTGTGAACGTCCGGTAACGCGCGAAGTCGTTTTAATTACCAGCAGAGCGAGCGGTGCCACCGGGCAGGCCTGACGTAAAGACTGGAAATGTGAAGGTAATTAATAATGATGGAAATTGAATAGAACAACGCTTGTGTACAAACCACAGGCAAGGTGCTGGTGTTCAAGACTGCAGGCTCCTTTTTCTTGTCGTGTACAATTACCACCGCCGACGGTAACCTCCCGCGGATGTTAGCTCAGGAGAAATACTCGCGGTGAAACAAATATCGCTTGAAAGTTTTAAAAAGTCACGGCGTTGGAAGAGAGAAAAAAAAATATCATATTTTCTTAAAAATTGTGAAACTTCGAGAAAACAAAATTTTGCCAACGACCTCTGCAAGACGCGATGCGGGCAGATAAAGAGACACGATAAAGTGATACGAGCCAAAGGGCAGTTTTAGTGCGACCTCCATCCTCACCCACGGCGGACATTCCACTGCTTTCGTCGGATGTGCGCGTGGAGTGGATGGTATTTCTTCTTTTTGGAAAGGCCACTTCAAAAAAAGTGGCCTAGGCAGCACCCACGGACACTGCCATCGCCCCAGACAGTATTGCACCATCACTCAACTATAAAAACACTATTTTTTTTTGCCTTTAGTTAATTTCTTGTTGCAACTAAAGTAAGAATATAAAATATTGCCATCAAGCCCATTTTCGCACACCATTTACACCACAATCCTATAAATATATGTTCCGTTATACTTCGTCGCTGCGTCAGCGTTTCAGTTGTTTGTTTTTACTTTTTCAGCTGGATATAAAGACGGGGATTTTTTTTTAAATCACGCTGAAGGAGGACGAAAAAAGTCATCGCGGATCGATCGGTCGTCGTGATGTTTCGAACGCGAGACGGACACCAGCCAATGGAAGCATCCTCCACCCTGCTCATAAATTGGCCTCTTGTGGCCAGGTGTGACTGAGGGGCCGGCGTACAGAACATTTTAACCGTACATCCGGCAGGCTACAATTGTAATACGATGCTAAATATCGTATTGGAACACGAATCTTAAGTATGGGTGTCGCTATGGTGAGATCGTAAATCTCTTTGTCCTTAAGAGCTGTTACTGTCGGGCATTACGTCATTAGGCCCAGGACACCACCGGGCGATTTGCTGCCAGGTTGACATCAACGAGCAACCATCCAACAAAGCCATCGTGACGCCATCAATGCACGCACTGCAGCCAGGAAGTGGCTCAGGTAAGCATGACGATGTCAGTAGTGTTGATGATGTTAATGACGAAACGAATTAATGATTAACCCTGTCATTGCTTATTTAGTGTTTATAATTGTTACCGGCGACGATCGACTCAAGACCGGTCCTGACAACTCGTAAGTTGTCGATAAAACTCTGAGCGATTGGTTATTTTTAAAGGACGCAGACGTTGCTTTTCGCCGCCACACATAATCCAGGGCACGGCTTTGCAGGTGAGGTTCGTGTCGCGAGCATTTCTTCCCTCGAGCTTTCTCCACGCACTACTGCTGGCTTCTTCAACCGTTCCCCCTTCAACTCCCGAGGATGTCCCACAAGCTTGCAAGCTGAGCCGCACACTGCTCAGGGTATCTTCAACTCGCCTGAAGATGCTCCCCCCCCCCCCCCCCCCCCCAGTAGTGCGTTGGCGAAAGCTTGAAAAAAAAACCTAAATACTCAACACACGGCCTAACCTGCAAGAGACAGGGCCTGCTTCAACTTCTCTCCGATAGACGTGGGGGAGGCTCAGTAAAGCGGCTGTGTGGAGGAGCCACACCATAACAGTGATGCACCGCTAAGGGGAGTGAACTTGGGGGGCCAAAGTGGCATTTGGTGGTGCAGAGCCCCACCAAATGCCCTTCATCTAGTACCGGCCCTGGGGAACACCACACTTGTATTCTTTAAAGGTCCTCGCAATTACGATTCTTTTTGTCCTCCTTTAGAAAATTTCAAATCCACCCGTGCGATGGAACATGTCCTTCTTTCGCAACAATCTGTCACGTTTAAGCAGGAATTGAGCTCCATTCCATTCCACCCTGCCGAGCAATCCTCTCAGACTCGGCTCATGCCCTCCGTTAATGCAGATTGCACAAACTCACGTCGGCCGAACGAACTCAGCTATTGCACGAAGCCTACCTGGGGCCTGGTCTCCCCTTCGACAAAAAACGGGCGGCCCCGAACCACGCTCAATACGGCGCGTCGGCGGCTGATGGACGGTGGCGGCGTGGGGTGGGTGAGAGAGGGGGGGGTGGGGGGGGCAGCGGCAGCGGGAGGCCGGTGGTGGCCGCGGAGGCCACGGAGAACCTTGACGGGCTGGCCAACCCCCCCCCCCCTTCCTCCACTCGCCCACCCGACACCACGCACGTGCGCGGCCCGGGTTAACCGTGGAGGGGGCCGTCGTGGGGCGGAATGGAGCGCGATGCCCGCTCGAGACGCTCAAGACGTGCAGGCGAAGTAGTCTTTGAGCGGGGCGAAGAGGTGGCGGATGACGGGCACGCTCCATGAGCGGCCCAGCAGCCGCTGGCGCGAGATGCGGCTCATGTTGGACACGTCCGTGTAGTGCACGGGGAAGCCGAAGATCCTGCACGCGTGAGCGGGCGCCACCGCCGGTCAAACGGTTCAGTCTACAAATGGTCGGCAATTCAATTATCATAATAATATTAATTTATTATTAATACGAATGAAACAAGCTATTGTGTTTAATCGTTCTTTCGGTAAAGTCACGTTGATTAAAAAAAAGTGAATAAAAAATAACAAAATTAAATTAAAACCACAAATGTAGACTGTAGCCTGGTTCTTTCGGTAAAGTCACGTTTCAACGTCGTGAGAATTTTATTGTTTTATATTTTTATTATTTTATTGCTTCCCTTCTACGTCACTTTACCGAAAGGACCAAGAATATAAATCCCTGCAATCACGAAAGCTTTAAATCAAAATATAGCCTGGTTCTTAATTGGGGAGCACATGAACAAATCTTTGTTGAAAGCCAGTGGGCTTGCAAACTACCATCGTCTAGAGAAATCTATTTCGTGTGAGCCAGCTGCATTAAAATAATGATCAGCCACGGCAGAAGTATTGGTCCTAGCGTGTTTCAAATCTGCCTAATGCTGATCATTATTTGAATGCGGCTGGCTCACACGAAATTTATTTATCTAAGACAATGGTACTTTGCAAGCCCACTGGCTATCAACACAGATTCGTTCATGAAGCCATCCATATATACAGACACAGACACAATTTCAACCGAGAGGATGGTTATAGACTCAGCAATCATTGGAAAGATGTCATCAACCACTTTGGGTCATGACTTGATTTGGGTTTTCTTGTCACGGGAGCACAGGTCAAGTCATGACTTGATTTGTGTCGTTGTCTTGTTATCTGTCCCCAGGGCACATATGCCCCGCCCACTTCGTTCTGACACCGAGACGTTTTGTGGCACTTCATGTTCTGTTTTTTCACATTGGTGCTCTCTGACCCCGGGGCACATATGCTCCGCCCACTTCGTTGCGTCGCCGGAGCGCTTGTGCCACGCCAATTTCTGAAACCTTCATAAACGGTTGCCTTCGGTGACCTTTCCCCTCTTTCCTCCTGAAGACGATCGCTTGTGTTGTGATCGAAAAGTCGTGGTTTTTTTTCCGAAACAACCAAGAATAAGTTTACATTATATACTGCCACTACACTTACTCAGCTGAATAACCATTGCTACAGTCTACATTATAGACTGCCAATACACTCACTCCGATTAAGAACCAGGCTACAGTCTACATTAGTGCTTTTTTAGTTTTTATTATTTTATTTTTTATAATTTTTATTCACCTTATTTTTTATTATTCTTTTTCTTCTATCTACGTGACTTTACTGAAAGAACCAAAGAATATTAATTCCTGCAGTCACGGAAGTAATTTTTTTAGCTATTGTGTGTTTTTAAGCTTATTTTTTTTTAACCAGGCATAGCCCACTGAGCTATGTAGCTCTTTTTCAGAAGCGACCTGGCCACAATTGGTAGCTCAACAAAGTGGCTTAACGCGTGAAAATTTATAGCAGCCAAATATTCTAAAGGCTTGATCTTAAATGTGGAGGAAAAAAAACAGAGGACCCAGAGAAAAATCCACGCAACCACAGGGAGAACATGCAAACTCCACATATAGTGGCGTCAGGCTGGAGATCGAACCCACGACCTCCTGCATACTAGGCGAGGGAGTTAACATCTCGCCACCGTGGCGCCCTAAGAATGGTGATGATAGCTGCTAACCCTTAACCCTCACCTCCGATTAGCACGGTTGGCTACGTACGGTGCAAAAGAAGTTCAACAGCTGCCTGCCGAGTAGCGCACACAGCACACACATTACACAGACAATGTTGTACCACGTCCGACCTCATAGCCGCAACTGCATAGAGCGAATTTTGGGTAGGAATAAGTTAGCCGCATACACAGCGTGAAATCACACACAACCGAACCCGCTTAAAGCGAGGGAAACCTGTAATTACGAGAACACGTCCCCGGAGACATTCAACGCTGTGCCAGCCTCGGCATGCGGTTGGAACCCCTGAACGAACCAACATTGGCCAACGTTCCACGTTTACTTGGATGACAAGAGCCCTGTGGTCAGGGTTAACGTCTCCGTTAAGATACGCCCTGGATGGACAAAAACGACGGCTTGGTAAGGCTCCATCTGGCGATGGCATCAACGACCGAGCTGGACGGAGGGCCCCGGTGCAGGCTAGCGTCGGGCGCCCCAGCGTCTTGCCAGGACTCTCACCTCTCCATCTCGGTGCTCCACAGGATGTCCTCCCGACCGTTCATCATCACCGGGAAGTGCTGGTCCTTGCCCTGCTTGATGGAGTTTGAGCGTGTGGTGATGGTCCGGATCTTGCTGAACTGAGGACGGCAACGGTCGGACAGGGGAGAGGATCGAGACGGAGTCCTTACCCAGCACGCACGCACAACGCGTGCCTGTGAATGGCGGGTGCCCAGTTGTTTGGATCCCCCCCACCCTCATGAAAAATGATGTGTCTTGCTCTCTCCGTGTCTCTGTTGTCTTTCTCTCCATCTGCCTCTCTCTCTCTCTTTATCTATGTCTCTCTCTATGTATGTAGGTCTCTCTGTATGTATCTGTGTCTATCTGTATGTATTTACGTGTCTCTGTAGCTACATCTCTCTGTATGTATGTTGAACTTCTTTCGCACTGTACATAGCCAGCCGTGCTAATCGGAGGTGTTTCTACGTCTCTCTGTATGTGCATCTCTCTCAGGGGGTTGTAGCCGTACCCTGGCCGTGCGGCCGTGCTCCAGGCAATCCTGCAGCTCCAGCTTGTCCACCGCAGTGACCGCCAGGGGTCTACGTAACGCACGCATGAACGCAGTCAGGCACGCAGTCATGCATGCAGGCCACCGGCACACACCATACGAATTTCACACCCTGCACACATGCACCAACAACGGCCGCCATTCCTTCATAAGTCATGGAGACATCACTAAAGTGCTTAGTGCCAAGCTTTTAACAAAAATACACTTTATTCCTTACCTAGTGGCTTTCGAGATGAATGTGTTTGCATGAGAGCTTTTGTTTAAGCAGACGCCTTTTGGCGTCACCTGGTCCAACACCATGTGAGACGAGGCTCTAAGGAAGGCTGTCTCGGGTGTGGACCAATCAATTTCAAGGACAGTGCATACATTATCAGAGTTATGTTTTTGTTTGCATCCTGACCGGCAGGTATTGCGGTCAATGCAAACATGACTCCTTGTAAAAAAAGGTGTCAGTTTTATTGCCAGATAAAAGGGTAAAAATCCAATTATCATATTTTGCTACTGGCAAAGGAGGTTCCAATGGTGTAAATGCTGAACCGTTTTCGACCTTCTGAGTCTCAACAGCAGAGTCATGCTTGTTAAACACACTGGTCTCAAAAGTCAACTGCCAAATGGGAAAATAACATTTTCTGATTATGCTTTGAGAAACAGAATTCATTTCTGCTTTTGCATTTATATACCCACAATGCACCACAACAACGCGTGCTCCGGCAGACGCTGGCAAAGGGGTGGCCTTTTACCACTTGCCTGTTCATGCCCGGAAGATTCCCCCAGAAGTAGCGGGCGCGATGGGCGGCTGAGATATCTTTGGCATCGATCATAACTGGGTTGCACTGCAGCAAATTGAGAACAAAACCGTAAGCAACCACAGTCGTCACCGTCTGCATCCACCCTGCACGTAATGACGACGTACAGTCACCTTTCCGTCATTCCACCGCTGGATGAGGGCGTCCCCGTGCATCCCACGGGTCGCGCGACTAATTTTATCATACTTCACCACGCTGGGTCAGTGCTGGTCGGGCGAACGCTGGAAGCATAGATGCTGGCGAGATGTTAACTACCTCGCCTGGTATGGAGGAGGACGTGGGTTCGATCCCAACCCTGATGACGTTGTATTTGGAGTTGGCATTTCTCTCTCCCCGTGGTCGTGTGGATTTTCTCCGGGTCCTGCGGTTTTTCCCTCCACATTTAGAAACATGCTTTTAGAGTTTTTGGCTGCTGTAAATGTTCACGTGATAAGCCACTTCATCGAGCTATCAATTGTGGCCAGGTCAGTGGCCCTTACCGTGTAAAATAAAATAGTTGTATTAAACCATAGTACAGTACAACAATGAGATTTTGCCACCCTCTACTGACAACGTAGCCCCTTATCCTCCAATCTGCAGTCTGTTTTGGACTGAGGACAATTGAGGCTCAACCCCGCGATTTGTTCATAGGCTTGGAGTCATTAGGGTTAGGACCTAGCTCTCAATGATGCTTGCTCCAGGGACCTCCTTCTCCCGATATTATGTTCCAGCAGGGGCACTCCAGTCGCCACCCCCCCACCCCCCCACCACCGCCTCCGCACGCACCTCGAGGAAGCGGGAGATGTCGCGCTTGTCGTTGTTGCCCATGGCGGCGACGTTCTCGAAGAGCCAGAAGAAGATCCGCTCCTCGCCCTCGCGCGGCTTCGCCTCGTTCATCAGCCGGTAGAACTCGAAGAAGAGTCGCCCCGTGCCCTCTGCGTCAGCCACGCCGGCCACGCCGACACACGCAAAAGACAAAGATCCCCCCCCGCCCGTGTAGATTTTAACAGACTGTTTTGGGGCAAGCGCCGTTAGCGAGCGCCTACGAAGGCCGACACGGCACACGAAGCCAAGATCACGCCCGGCCAGCCGTCTTAGTCTCCCGCGTGATGATGTTTACACACCGCACCAGGTACTAATTTGAGGCTGAGTCGACCTAGGGGAGACCCAGAACTGGTTCAGATAATTGTCACTGGTGTTGGCTGTGAGCGGGAATTGAACTTAGGTCGCCGGGTTGGTAGTGCAGCGCACCAAACGTTACACTACTGCTCAAAAGACAAAGGTCCCCAATAGAGCCTTAGCAGACGGTTGGGGCAAATGCTGATAGCGAGCACCTCTGAAGGCTGGCATGGCACACAAGAGGGTGGGTGGCCAAGTTCATTCCTTTGTCTCCCCAGTGGCGATGTTTTTCACACGCCGCACCGGGCGCCTTGAGACATTAGTGGAAGGCCCCTTACGAATAAATGTAAATTATTATTATTAATTCTCCATTTGAAGCCAAGTTGACCTAGGGGAGACCCAGGACTGGTTCAAATATACTCGTCACCCACGTTGGCTGGGAGCGGGAATCGAACTTGGGTCGCCGAGTTGTTAGCGCAGCGCACTACCGCTCCGCACACACACGCAACACACACAAGACACCCCTTTTCCCGTTACATCTACCGTAGCTATTCAGCGCTGCGCCACGTTGTGCTGCCGAGGGTGTCTCACCGTAGAGGCCCTTGCGCGCGGGGTTGACGATGGAGAGGTCGCTGCAAGGGCTGCCGCCGATCACCAGGTCGAACGGGCCCCACTTCTGCAGCTGCGGACGCGAGCACACGGGGATGCGAGCACACACCAAGAACCCGCGGTGAGCGAGCACACACCAAGAACCCGCGGTGTGTGGTGGTGTAGGGGGCGCGGTGGTGAAATGTATGTGGGCGGTATGGTGATGTAATAGGCGTTTGCGTGGCGGTGGTAGCGGGGTTGATGTGGGTGGCGTGGTGGCGGTGTGGCACCGCACGTTGCTGTAGGTGAGGTTGCGGATGTCCCCAATGTAGGTGATGTCTCCGGCGTGACGCACGGTCCCCACGTTGATGGAGTCCTGGCAAACCTCGGAGGCGACGTAGCGCTCCACGCGGATCCCCAGTTCCTTGAGCACCAGCAGCCCTGCCACACGCACCCGCGTATAAGAACGCAGGCGAAGATGCCCCCCTTTTCGCCCTTACTAGAATGTAGGGGAAAGTGCTGTTAGCGAGCACCCACAAAGGTCGGCACGGCGCACGAGAGGGTATGCGGCCAACACTGCGTCCGGCCACCTCTGTCTCGCCAGTGCTGAGGTTTACACACCGCACCAGCTGCTTATTTAAGGCCAAGTGGACCTAGGGGAGACCCAAGATTGGTTCAAATATCCGCCACTGTAATCGTTCGCGAGCATAAATCGAACTCGTGTCACCGAGTTCGTAGCGCAGTGCGGTAAATACCACATCGTACACTACAAGCATGCACAGACGTCACGCGTCTGTGCACATGTCTGTAAATCCACCAAGCTGGTGCCAACATTGTCACAAGGCTACAGTACAACTCGAGGCCTTAACTGCATCGTACCTGTGGCAATCCCATCAAAGAGGGACAGCACTTTGATCGGCCTGCGGTGGTCTGGCGTGATTGGTGGGTACAGCTTCGGGGGCTCCTGGGAGACGCGGGGAGGGAGGGAACGGAGGAGGAGAGTGAAGGAGAGTGGAGAAGAGCAGAGCAGGAGAGAGGTGATGGGAGGAGGCACAGGGTGGCATGGTTGTCCCCTCCCACCCACCCCGGACCCCGCCACCGCACACAAGCGCTCCGCTCACTCCCGCCGACCTGCTTACGGTTAACGCAAGGGGTCAGCGTCACCGCACGGAGCTCAAAGGAGGCGCGGGGTTACACGGATATCTGAGCAAGCGCAGAGATTGTCGACCAATCCGTGGGTCCGTCGGTCCCATCGTGCCCGCGGCGGGATGAGGGTCCCGCGAATCGGGTTCGCGTTCGTTGCCGATACTGCTCCCAGCCGGGACGGTTAGAAGCACGTGACAGCGGAAAACAGCGTCCGCGCATCTCGAGGACGCCTGTGGCGGCGTGGCCGGGCGGGGTGGCACGTTTTTAGTCGTTCGTTGCAGAGGTCCGCGGTTCGGGCCACACGGCCGCCCTGGTAAACGAGGTGACGGCGTGATGGTCCAACTCTGCCCAACGTTGAAAACTGCTCTCGAATTACCCCGATGGGTAGAATCACAAGGCAGCATCGACCCACCGCTGCCATTAAAACTCCTGTGGGCTATACCCGTCTGTGAAACGCAGCACCCCCGCCGTCGTGTTCAGCCCCCCCCCCCCCCCCTGAGCTACCTATGAGAGTGGCGTCTGAGCGACCAAAACGCTCGCGGACAAATCCGTCGCTCAAAACGCCGAGTGCGCTCCTCACAAACTCCTGGCTGTGGGTGTTGGAGAAGAGGTGCTGGAGGCGAGCGGGCCAGTCGGGCCGCGGGTTGAGGAGGCCGCAGGTGGCCAGCGAGGGCCGGCACATGAAGCAGCGCCACGGCTCCTCCTCGATTGCCGTCTTGGCCGTGCCGGAGCCGACGAGCAGATCCACGCACTCCACGCAGAAGCACCTGCAACCCGCCAACGGACACCCCATGCACGCACACACACGCAAAAAGACAAAAATTCCCCCCGTGTAGCCTCAACAGACTGTTGAGGCAAGTGCTGTGAGCGAGCAGCACCTGTGAAGGCTGGCACGGCACACGAGGGGGTGGGTGGCCAACACCACGCCCGGCCGCCTTTGTCTCCCCGGTGGTGATGTTTACACACCGTACCAGGTACTCATTTGAGGCCGAGTCGACCTAGGGAAGGCCCAAGACCGGTTCAGATAATCGTCACCGGTGTTGGTGGCCTTGAGCGGGAATCACACTCGGGTCACCGGGTTCGTAGCGCAGGGCGCTAACCGCTACGCCACCGCACCCCCCAGCACCACACACACGCACGCACACACACACACGCACACACGTACGCACACACACGCACGCACACACGTACGCACACACACACACACACGCACGCACACACGTACGTACACACACACACACGTATGCACACACACACACGCACGCACACACGTACGCACACACACGTACGCACACACACACGCACGCACGCGACGCACGCGACGCACAGCGCCACTGTCAACGCAACCAGCGTTGCTGCTGCTCCTATTGAAGGCAATGCTGAAATCAGAATTGTTTTTGGGGGCCCGGGTGGTGCGATGCAATGGGAGCGTGAGTGGGCACGGCGTAACGAAGTGCGCAGGAACAACGGGATGGATAAGGTTTGGATTATGGATCATGTGTGGGGTTCGGGTTTGGCTTAAAAATAGGGCTCGGGTTAGGCAGAATGATAGGTTTAAGAACATGGTTGGGGTTAGGGTTTGGGTTGGAGATAGGGTTAGGCATAGGGTCGGGGTTAGGGTTGGGGTTAAGGTAAGCATGGGATTAAGATAGGAATAGAGTTGGGCTTGGGGAGAGCATTAGGTTGGGATGTGGAATAAGTTTGGGGTTAGGGAGACAGGATAACTGAAAAAGCTCGGGTTGGGGATTGGGTTACTGATTTGCTGAGTGCCTAATGTGTGAACATCGCCCCAGGGGACACAAAGGTGGCCAGGCGTGGTGCTGGCCACCCACCCCTTTGTATGCCATGACGCCCTTCATAGATGCTTGCTAACAGCGCTTGCCCCAACAGACTGTTAAGCCTACACGTGTGTACGTTGAACTTCTTTCGCGCTGTACAATAGCAAACCGTGCTAATCGGAGGTGCAGGGAAGGACAACAAACTCAACACAAAAAAACAAGTATTCAATCTAGATCAGTGGTTCTTAACCTGGGTTCGATCGAACCCCAGGGGTTCGGTGAGTCGATCTCAGGGGTTCGGCAGAGCCCCCGCCACGGAGGTCCGGACACACTTGAATTATTGTGTAAATTTGTGATGACACACACGGCCCGCTTGGCCATCACTGGCTGCAGATGATCATGCTACACTGCTTGGCCAATCAGCGCTGCGGGGAATTTAGTGCGTACTCAGTAGTCAACGTGTGACTGTTGTTGTCGTACGTCGTGTGATTTCTTTAATATTTTATCCATACTAACTATGTCGGGCAAAAGAAGAAAGTGGTCGGACGAATATGTACAACATGGATTCTCATGTATCACGGAACGTGATGGGAGTGAGCGTCCTATGTGCATGATTTGCAACGCCAAGTTGAGCAACTCTAGTCTTGCACCGGCAAAACTAAAGGAACACTTCTTGAAGCTGCATGGAGACGGGGAATACAAGAACACAACACTTGCTGAATTCAGGGTGAAGAGAGCCAGATTCGATGAAAGGGCCACTCTGCCTGCTCTTGGATTTGTACCTGTTAACAAACCGATCCTGACAGCATCGTACGAAGTTGCTTACCTGATCGCAAAGCAGGGCAAGCCACACACCATTGGTGAAACACTTGTAAAACCAGCTGCATTAAAGATGGCGAATCTGATACTCGGAACAGCGGCCGAAGGTAAATTATCCCAAATTCCCCTTTCAAATGACACCGTCAGTGACAGAATAGAAGACATGAGTAAAGACATCTTGGCTCAAGTAGTCGCGGATCTGATTTCAAGCCCGGCAAAATTCAGCCTTCAACTCGACGAAACCACAGACGTTTCTGATCTAAGCCAGCTTGCTGTTTTTGTACGCTATGTGAAAGACGACATGATAAAAGAAGAGTTTTTATTTTGTAAGCCTCTTACAACAACAACGAAGGCAGCCGATGTGAAGAAGCTTGTGGATGACTTCTTCAGAGACAACAATCTTTCATGGGATATGGTTTCTGCAGTTTGTACGGATGGAGCTCCAGTCATGCTGGGAAGAAAGTCTGGTTTTGGTGCGCTAGTAAAGGCCGATGCACCACACATCATTGTGACGCATTGTATTCTGCACAGGCATGCGTTGGCAACAAAAACCTTACCTCCAAAAATGGCAGAAGTATTAAAAACTGTGGTGGAATGTGTGAACTATGTGCGAAAAAGTGCTCTGAGGCACCGCATCTTCAGTGAGCTGTGTAAAGAAATGGGCTCTGAATTTGAGGTACTTCTGCTCCATTCTAATATTCGGTGGTTATCCCGGAGACAGGTGCTGAATCGTGTTTTTGCCATGCGTGTGGAATTAGCCCTGTTTTTGCAAGAGCACCAACACTGCCATGCAGATTGCTTCAAAAATCCTGAGTTCATTCTCATTTTAGCATACATGGCTGATATATTCGCAGCTCTCAATCATCTCAATCAGCAGATGCAGGGTGGTGGAGTCAATATCATGGAAGCGGAAGAACACCTGAAGGCTTTTCAAAAAAAGCTACCGTTATGGAAACGACGAACAGAGAACAATAACTTCGCAAACTTCCCACTTCTGGACGACTGTGCAAGTAAGATCGAAGATGTGTCTGGAATCGGAGATATTTCTGTATCCACGGAACTGAAGCAAACAATTGCCACGCACTTAGATGAGCTTGCAAAGTCTCTCGACGGATATTTCCCTACAAGAGAGTCATATCCAGCATGGGTGAGACAGCCGTTCACGTTTGCTGTTGAAACAGCAGATGTCAATGATGAATTCCTCGACGAAATCATTGAAATTCAGCAGAGCCAGGTTCAACAGCAACTCTTCAGAACAACAACGCTCTCAACGTTTTGGTGTCGACAAATGAACAAGTATCCAGTTATTGCTAAGAAAGCCCTGGATTTTTTTTTATACCATTTGTTACAACATATCTTTGTGAGCAATCCTTTTCGAGGATGCTGGACATAAAAACGAAGAAAAGGAACAGACTTTGCTGTGAAAATGACATGAGAGTGGCACTTGCCAAGGTGAAGCCACGCATATCTGAACTGATCTCTCAAAGGCAACAGCAGAAGTCACATTGATTTCCAGGTATGTAATTTGTTGTGAGTTTATGCATTGTGTTGGTTTTATTCTTTGAACAAGGTAATGTTCATGCACGGCTCATTTTGTGTACCAGTAAAAAACATATCTATGTCTTGAATTTGAAAAAAATCACATTTTATTTTTCACTAAAGAGGGGTTCGGTGAATGCGCATATGAAACTGGTGGGGTTCGGTACCTCCAACAAGGTTAAGAACCACTGATCTAGATGATTTAAAAGTGCATTGCTCCACTGGCTTCCTAATATCGGAATGGAAGAGCGCGTGAAGGCGAGCGATGCAGTGATCGTGTGCGCTCACTCGATGGGGGATCTTTGTGTAAGTGAGTGTGCTAGTGTGTGTGCGAGCGAGCGTGCGAGCGTGCGCGTGAGCAAGTGTGTGAGAGAGCGAGTGCGCGAGCGAGTGAGCATGTGAGCAAGTGTGTGCGTGAGCGAGTGTGCGAGCGAGTGAACGAGCGAGCGAGCGAGCATGCGAGTGAGTGAGTCACACACCGGAAGCAGTTGATGTTGCCGCACATCAGCACCTCTCGTCCGCCACAGCAGATGGAGCAGTAGGACTGGTACCCATCATCGTCATACTGGTACGCGCACTCCATGAAGGTGATCTGAGCGGGCACCCACACAGACAGTGTTTTACACCGCACACACCACAATACCAGCAGCACAACACACACACACCACACAGCCAGCGTCACGTGGCATCATACCACACCCCACACAGCCAGTGCCACACCACACACACCACACAGCCAGCGTCACGTGGCATCATACCACACACAACACAGAGCTAGCGTCACACCACACACAACACAAAGCCAGCGTCACACCACACACACCACACAGCCAGCGTCACACCACACAGCCAGCATCACAGCACAATGCTCAGTACAACATTTCCCATGGGCTTTGGTGGTGACGTGCATTGGTGAGCTATGGTGAGGAGTGATAATGTGTGGTGAGGTGCCCCGCCGAGGAATGGTCAGGGGTACTGGCGAGCACCGGTGAGGTGTACAAGCGAGGAATGTCGAGGTGTACTGGCGAGGAACGGTGAGGTGCGCTGGCAAGGTGCCGTCTCTTCACCTGACAGCTCTGGCAGATCCCTCCCTCGAACAGAGGGTGCTGGGCACAGATACGAGGGCTGCCGCACGACAGGCAGATCTCTGCGAGGGGGACACGGGGCGCGGGGCGTGCGACGATGAATCATTAAACACGCCGCCTCGTCGCCCGCGTTCGGTTTCCGCCGCGTCGGCTCCCGGACCCAACGCCGACATCGGAGGACAAATTGAAAAGTTCGATTAATTTCAAACGAATTGTGTCGGTCCTCTGCAATCGTCACTGCCACCTCTTCGGTGTCGCCAAGTGTTAAACGTCTTTTCCGAACTTTTTACGCCACTGCTTCAGTATATTCTTTTGGGTCTTTCGGTAAAGTCACGTCGATAGGTTCAAAGAAAATAATAATTCAGTGGTGGGTTTTTTTTCTTTTACAAGAAAAATCCCATGTAGCCAGCTACCCAGCTAGTTTTAGGGGCAACGGCCCCGTAGCCACTCACAGCGGAGTTATCGTCGGGGTAAAGAGGAGCCCAGCCAGCAGGCAGCCAGGAAACTCGAGGTATGGATTAATTTTAACAGTAGTACGATCATTTTAAAACGATTTATAAGGCGCACATTTTCACGAAATTACGAGGAGACAAATTCCAGCCGCAACTCGGGAGCGTCGAGCCAGGCTTCCTCATAGGCCCGACGCAGCAGACAGCCTTCAAACGTCTCTCAAAAGCGGCGGTGGATTTGACACGGCAGCGTATTGGGTGTTAAACCTACTGGACACCTGCGAAAAACTGTGACATCTGTGAAAAACGAGCTTCGCGGCTCATCGGATTCCTTCAGTTTCAATAAAGATGAAAGATCTCGAAACACTCTAGGCTGCACCCTGCCTGGTCACCGCACTTCGCAAGCTATGCTGCCCCTAAAGTCGTTGGCTAGGAGGCAGTGCCGGATTATCCTAGTAGCAAAAGTAGCTACATATGTAGTAGCTACGGGCCCCGCACTTTCAAGGGCCCCGCGCGCTAAATGCTTTCAAGCTATCAATTCCGGTTAAGTTATTCTGCACTTGCTCTATTACTATAGTACTATACTGCCTTCAACTTTTATGAACGACTGGGTGTTTAAGGTGAGCGATTTGTCGTATTATCTGGCTGTATAGCAAATGAAAAAATAGAATTACTTTACTATGCAAGTCAACAAATTTGTGTTTGAATATTTACGTGTTTATTATTTTATTTAGGGCTCCTTTATAACATACGTTACCAGCTTAATCCGGCACTGCTAGGAGGTTGTGGGGGGCTCTCTGTGGCCCATTGTGACGGGGGGTGGGCTCATTCTCACCCTCAATAGTCCGGATGTCCTCCTGCACCTCCTGTATGATCTGCTCTGTAAACACAGGGAACAAGCAGCAAACTCAGCCGCTACAGAGTACAGAGTCAGTCGCAGAGGTCTATGTGGTGAGTGTACACAAATTGTATTAGTACAATAGTCACCCTATAATCTAAATGAGTATACCATTTTTGTAAATTAACACTGTAATTGTATTGTGGTCGGTCTAAAATAAGCTTCCCGAGCCAGCTTGCCCTCCAGGGAATTTATGAATTAACACTGCGTTACGTTCGTGCAATATTTTTGATTTCTCAAGCGGCACAGCAGTTGCTTTTGCTCCGATTTCTATTCCCATCATTTCTGTAATTTATTTGTTTTGCTTTTGTAACTTTGGTGCTCCAGGGCACTCGGGCAAATGAGATTCGATCCTTGCCCCGCGCCAGCTTCAGATTTGCGAGGCCAGCGTAGCACGGTTTGAGTTTGGTTCTGGCTCGGCTCAGCAAACGGCCAGTGGAAAAAGCACTCGTACCGGGCGGACGTGAGGCTGGCTCAGCTCGGGACAGAGTGGGCAGGGTGGGGCGGGGCAGGGTGGGGTGCAGGGCAGGGGGCGGTCAGGTTGGGCAGGGCGGGGGGTGGGGGGGGCAGAGTGGGGGGCAGTGTGGGGGGGGGGGGCAGGGCAGGGCCCCCCTCACCTCGAGGCAGCAGGGCGAGCGACTCGATGGCGGCGCACAGCTTCTGGCGCTTGGCGGAGCGACGCTTCTCCTCAGCGAAGAGGTGGATCTCCTGCAGCTTGCGCTTGCTCGACTCCAGCTCCTCTGCGGGGAAAACGCGAGATAGGATTTTGACCCCCATAGAATTCTGATCCCGGGGTCAGACCGCTATAGGTTATTTAAACGCTACCCTTCCACCCCTGCCAGCCCCTCCGCCCACCGCTGTGGTCTGTTGAATTCTGAGCGTGGCCGTTATTCTGACCCTGGAATAGTAACTGTTTGGGTCACGTCGCGTGAGCAAAATGTGCGCCGTTAACCCTCCTCCGCCCGACGCGGGCAATTAACAAAGTTGCCACGTGAACAGACATGCTGATTTTTTACTGCTTGATCCACAAATACGAAGGAGACATCGCAGCGATGCACTACTCCGCTCCTGCTGACGCGGTTGTCTGCCTCGACCACCTGAATGTGAAACTGTAGTTGATGCTCTGCATCTACATGAGCCACACGAAAGAAGGAGGAGGAGGAGGAAGAAGAAGAAGACTGCTTCAGCAGCGACGCCGGTGTCTTGGAGAGTCATCGAGAACATTTACCGATTGGCTGTGATGTGACATTGACCGCGAAAACCTAGGAGCGAAATTTCCTGTCGTAGTACTTGTCAAAAAAAGTCGAACTGATTTCCTGCTCAAACGAGCATTGAGACTGCGCCCACAATCCTGGTGAGAGCTCTGAGTCAGTGGTGGATGTTCCACATTCCTCTGACGGGGGCGAGTGTTTCCATAGGACAACTACAGAGTGGTACTAATTTTATCGACCCCGGAGCGGTGATGTCCAAGGTCAATCCCCCAACCACCCCCACCCCATAACCAGGATTTGTGAACTCGCGACCTTCAGATGGTGAGCCGCTCGCCTTTCCGCTGAGCCAGCGGCTTTTGGCTCGCCATCGAGCAAAGACGGCGGACGCCGCGTCGCGCGCTTGCAGGTGCGCTTCTGTGGCCGTCTGGAACGCTCTTCCTTCTGATATTAGAAAGCCACTGGGAGCTATGCACTTTTAAATCTAAATTGAAAACAAATTTCTTTGGAACTGCTTTTTTGTATTTTGTTTGTTGTCCTTCCCCCACGTCTACAATTTGCGTGGTTGGCTATGTACAGTGCGAAATAAGTTCTACGTACAGACATATTCTGACCCCAGGTGGCAATGTCTCCACGGGAGGAGTCATGTTTCTGTAATAGAATCGTGTACCCCAGAGTCCAAATAACAAAGCAATCTGCCCTCGGGGGTATACCTCATACGGAACGATCTCACACCATACGGTCGCACACCTCACTCGGCAGGGTAATGAACGAGTGAATTCACTCCGCGGTACTGGGCACGTGAATTAATCAACGAACGCCTAAACAGAGAGGCTGGCGTAGCACGGTTTAGTTCCGGGTCGCCTCGGTAAAGAGCCAGCGGAAAACCGACCGTACCATACCACGAGGGCACCACGCTCGTGCCATCTCACCAGGCAGAGGGACGAGCCCCTTGGCTCCCTTGGGGGGGAAGCCGCTCATGGCCCAGTGCATCATGGGAGAGATGCGCTCCTCCAACGACAGCCCGGGCTCCGTGTCGCTCTCCTCCGGCTGCGGGAACACCTTGTTGACGCGCTGGCTCGCCACCTGAGTGCGTGGGTGGGGGGGGGGGGGGTGGAATTCATCTCAAGTTAATTTGGTTTATCCAGGTGGTAACACGGGAGACGAGGATCGTATCATTTGCAAGGGTGACCCGGGTCGCCGAAATGACCAAAATTACTGGCGCGAATAGCAGCGTGAAATTCATGGGAACTCGTAAGCATGGTAGTAGCGGTATGAGAGTGCTAAGGAGGCAATTGACCGCCCGCACGGTGAGTGAGTGACTGGAGCGAATCTGTGCGTGAAGTTCATGGATACAGTAAGCACGGGAGTAGCGATAGAATAGCGAGCGAGCTCCCGCGAGTGTGTCCAGCCATCGTGGGGAGGTCACCTGCAGGGCCTGGTAAATGGCCTTCCTGTAGACAAGCTTCTTGGCGTAGGTCTGCTGGTTGAAGTTCTCCTTGAAGTGGCTGAACGGCATGAGCTTGTCCACGGCCACCTTTGTGGTGGGGATGGAAGGTGGGGGGGGGGGGGTCAGCGGTGCCACCTTGCCAGTTCTCTTTTTTTTGCTGAGCACAGTGCCCTAGAGGCCCCAAAGTGCAAAGCAGGCAGCAACAAACAGCACCGACGAAGGTATAAGAGGCAACAAGATGTGTGCACTGTGTGTATGTTGAACTTCTTTCGCACTGTACGTAGCCAACCGTGCTAATCGGAGGTGCGGGTGGTAGGACATTAAACTAAATACGAAAAGCAGTTAATGCGTTTCTTTGAATTGAGCAAGGTTGTCAGAGCTTGGGAAGAACAGACGACAGGAGGAGGGAATTCCACAGTGCAGCAGTGCGAGGGAAAAAGCGGAAAGAGCAGCGTTGCGACCGGCAGCGTGGTGATTAAACACACTCATTGCATATTTACGTTACAGCCAATTTATTTAACGACTAACCGAGCCGCCCCAACTCCCGCCGGCAGCAGCCGCCTGGCGGCCTCACCAGCGAAAACTTGCAGTCCCCGAACCAGCAGACCCAGCGCGTGTCCTCGGCGGCGCAGCACTGGCCCGTGTCCTCCCAGGACACGAGGACGCCCGGCCACCACGAGAAGCCGCGGATCTTGCCCCACACGAGCTCGCCCACGGCGAAGCCGCGCTCCTGCGGCTGCTCGCACGCACGCGGGATAACAAAGACAACAGATCCATCCTGCACGGCCTTCAATAGACCGCTGGGGTTGAACGTATACGCACGGGTAGGGTATGCATGGGTATGAACCGGTATGCGTGGTGTGCGTGTCTGTCCCGGTGCCCAGGTCCCCGTGCCCAGCTCCCCGTGCCCACGACACCGTGCCCAATCCCCTGCGCTCACCCCCCGTGTTGACCACCCCGTGCCTGCCTCCCCACGCCCACCCACCGTGTCTGCCTCCCCATGTCTGCCTCCCTGTGCCCATTTCCCTGTTTCCCTGAGCCCGCCACCCCGTGCCCATGTCCCCCGTGCCCCCCATGCCCCCCATGCCCCCCATGCCCGCCACCCCGGTGCCCACCGGCACCTGCTGTTCTCCAGGAGTTTTGGCCGCATCGCGCTCCGCATCCTCGGCATCCGGGGCGGCCGAGCCATCCGAAACCCTGAGCGGCTCCACGTCGGGACTGCCCCTTGGCGGGACCAGCACGTCGCTCACGTCCGAGATCACCTCCCCCGCCGCGTCCTCCTCGTCCTCCGCGTCACCGTCGTCCGTGTCAGCCCCATCGTCGTCGTCGCCATCGCACCCGTCGTCGTCGTCATCGTCATCCGACAGCGCGACCGCCCGGGGCTTCGGCTTCAGAGAGGGCACCGACATTTTCCTGGCACCGGCGCCGGTTTTGACGACGGCCGGGAGGAGACGCGTGGGCAGGCGAGGCCGATTGCCGTCCGGTTTTGCCGGCGGCAGCGGCGGCGGGGAGAGCTCGGCCCTCACTGCCTTGCCGTCGCTGGGGGAGGGCGATAGCTTCTTGGACGGGACGAGCAACACGAGGTCGGGGGTCGGCGGTGCGGGTGCCTCGCCGGGTAGGGGGAACTCCAGCTTCGCCGTGATGGGCAGCAGGGGCGCCGGCGTCACGGGCGGCGGGGAGGAGGAGTCGCGCTTGAGCACCAGCAGCGGCGGAGCGAGCAGCGGGAGGAGCGGAGGAGACGGCTTGCCGGCGCGCGTCGCCGTGCACACGTGGGGCAGCTCCTCCTCGCGGAGATCGCAGGGAGGAGCTGTCGGCGCAGCAGCAGCGCCGACAGACGCGCCGGCGCTACCAGCAGCAGCGGCGGCAGCAGGAGGAGCAGCGGCGGCAGCAGGGGGGGCAGGAGGTGTAAAATCGATCTGCGCTCTCATCAGCAGCAGCTGGGAGGGCAGCGCCAACGAAGTGACGCGCGACCGTTCTCGCGGTCGTTCCGGACGATGGCCCTCCGCGGGATCGGGCGGGCGCCCCGTGTCCTCCGGGAAGGCGTCCGAATCTGGCGGTGACGGCGGCTGTTTTGGCACGGGGTTTACTGCTGTGACGTCGTCGTCGGCGTCGTCGTCGGCGTCGTCATCGTCGGCGTCGTCGGCGTCGTCATCGTCGGGAGGCGGTGGCGGAGTGCCGAGCGACGCCAACGGCGGCCTGGAGACGGAACGGCGAGGCCGGAACCGGACCCCCGAGGGCTCTGTGGCCATACGCTTCTGCCGCTTCTCCTGGGCGAGAAGGGACAACGCGGGGGAGGGCGGCGCACGCAGCTCAGGAAAGCGGGCCCGAGGCACGGCCTAGGAGACACACGGCAACCAGCAGCGGCGCTTGTATCACCCGGCAACAACATTGGTAGCATCGGCAGCAACGTCAGTTCAAACTCAGGCAGAACCGGCGGCAGTGCAATCGCGACCGGCAGTGCCGCAGCATCGCTATGTGTGTGTCACTTCACACCTTGGACAATCTTGCAAATGAGATGTTCCACCTTGAGGGATTTTACACGTGAGATGCTTTGATAAGAAACAAAGAATTAAAGCAGCACTAGCTATGTGTGTATGTTGAACTTCTTTTGCACCGTACATAGCCAACCGTGCTCATCGGAGGTGTGGGGGAAGGACAACAAACTAAACACAAAAAGCAGTTCTAAAAAAATTAGTTTTCAATCAAGATTTGAAGGTGCATAGCTCCATTGGCTTCCTAACATCGGAAGGAAGAGCGTTCCAGACGGCCGCAGAAGCGCATCTGAAAGCGCACGATGTGGTAACAGCTGCAAAAGCAGCATCATCATCAGCATCATCAAACGTGTGCGATGATTATCATAATCACAACGTGGCTCTTAGACTTGGGCCACAGTCGACCAATTAGAAAGTAATAATGTGCTCCACATTTGGTAAGGACCCCTGTACTCGTTCTCTGCAAATATTAAACGTCCAGCTTCGTATGTATGTTGAACTTATTTTGCACTGTGCGCAGTCAACCGCCCACCGCAGCACCGCGGATCTCCCCGTGTGTGAAATATCCGGGCGACCGGCTGAACGGCACCGCCGTCGTTCGCGGAATGAATGGAATAAACTTGACGAGGGAGTCATGCTCACAGGACAGCGTGGTGTCCGACGTACCCGGACGAACGGAATTTTTGACCCGCGTCGGTATGGTGCCGGTGGTGGTGCATCAAGTTCTGCATGCGAGTGCGAGTGCGCACGTCAGTACCGTGGCCGGGGAATGAGATTCGGCGGCTTTGGTAGGGGGGCATTTTGCCAACCCCTGCGCCACCGCTCGCAACCACAATAAAGATCGCCCATGTAGCCTCTACCAGACCGTTTGGGGCGAGTGCTGTTCATGAGCACCGACTAAGGCGGGCACAGCACGAAAGAGAGGGGTGGGTGGCCAACACCACGCCCGGCCACCTTTTTATCTCCCAGTGCCCGATGTTTACACTCCACGCCAGGTATGTGGTTAATGGCTGAGTTGACCTAGAAGAGCAAGGAAGACCAGCTCCCGGTATACATTTGCATGCGTGCAGACACACACACACACAAAGTGCCACCCCCCAAACTCCACAACCCCTAGGGGAAACGATGGTGGCCGTGTGTTTGACCCTCGTGGGTCACATTCATGACCGCGGCATCCAACCAGCCGAAGACAAATTAGAAGGCATCACAAGCGCCCAAACACAGCATCCGCGTTTAATCACGCGGAGACCTGTAAACACGGAGACAGAGAGCGAGTGAAAGACGTGGTGGCAGGGAGAGAAGAGGGGAGGAGGGGAATGGTGGAGGAGGAGGAGGAGGAGAGAAAAGTGAGGAAGTGTGAAGATAGGAGAGGAGTGAAAGATGGCAGAGGAGGGGAGGGGAGAGAGGAAGGGAGAGGAGAGAGGAGGGGAGGGGGCACATAAAACAAAGCATTGGAAAAAAAAAACGAAATGATGACCGAAGCAAGGTGCCGACTACACCGAGCATCTTCTTGTTTCCTCTGATGGTAAAAAAGGAGGGGAGAGAGGAAGGGAGAGGAGAGAGGAAAAAAAGAGAGAGGAAAGGATGGGAGAGAGTAGAGAGGAGGGGAGAGGAGGGTAGAGGAGGGGAGAGAGTATGGGGGAGGAGATCTCCAGGAATTGGCAGCCCTGGCGGCGTGTACAGTGCGGCTTGGCGGAGCGAGCCGCACGCTCGCTCCGGCGGAGCCGCCAGGAGCCGCATGCGGCCAAAACCCTGCACCGGACAGGCGGCGAGCCCCCATCTACTGAGGCTCTCCAGGAAGCCAACCGGACACTTGCATTACCCCTCCCGCTCTAACACCAACCAGCGAACCAACCAATCGGCCACTATTAATGACCCTACCCATAACACCAATTATCGAACCAACCAGCCAGTATTACTGACCCTACCCCTAACGCGAACCAGCGAACCAACCAGCCAGCAGAACCAGCCTTTGCCACTGATCCTATCCCCTACCCCTAGCACCCCCCCCCATCCGCCTTGGAAATCTGCCAGGCAGCCCCTCGTCAAGTCGGTTCTCATTTCAGATTTCACGACTGCCCGATTTGGGGCACAGCCACGCCGCGTCTCGCCCACCCCACTCACACCCCACCCACTCAAGGGGCGTGCGAATGAGATTAATTATTTATTTAGGAGAGCCACACTGAGCTGTAGGACTCTTTTTCAGGAGGGTACTGCTGGATTGAGTTTGTATTTTAAGATGTTTTCAGCCAATGAATGTGTTCATTGTACACGTGGCAGGGAAACCGGAGCATGCGGAGAAAACCCACGCCTTGTGCAAGGGGGCAACATTATATCCCCGAACAGATGGAGACAGATGGCGATTAGTCTACTTGCTGTTACCGCCTTGTCCTGGCGAGACAGGGTATAGCAACCTCCTTGACCCCCTCGCTTCCTCCACAGTGCAGGGGGGGGGGGGGGAGACCGGTGGCGTAGCTTATCAAGTACGCAGGCGGTGCAACTGCACCAGGGCCCATGGGCTGGAGGGGCAGTGGGCGGCGTGGCCACGACGAGAGGGGGGAATTGAACCTCATGGCGGTACCCCGGGGTACCATAGTAGCCCGGCTCTCGCACGATGTCCGTGATGCAGTCATTTTTAGTCTGTTGATGGTCGGCGATGCGGCAATGGACTCATCTCGACGAGCTGTACTCACGATGCACCACTGCGGTGCGTACGAGCGTTCAGGGTTTCGGCACAATCGTCCTCGCTGCGTTTCGACATCGCGGAGTGTGGCACTGATTTCGCATTGATTGGTACCCCAGTCGCGGAGTTAAGTACAACCCTGGAAAAAAATAGTGTCCCAGAAATAAAACATTTAATTGCCTCGGCCATTTTTTATTACATTGGTACCCTGGGCTACCGCCAATTGTAGGATGGTGGGGAGGGGCTCATTTAATTCGTTGCGATGAAGCTGCGCCACTGAACCTCATGGAGGCAAATTCACGGAGGAGAGAGAGGGAGGTCGACAAAAATGGAAGAAATAAAGAGGCGAGAGAGAGAGAGGAGCGATACTCATGGAGGCCAGGCAGATAGCGAGCACAGAGAGAGAGAAAACCAGGCAGGAGATAGAGCCGTGGAGAGGAGAGAGAGGTCAGACAGGAGAGGCAGCGAGCACAGACAGAATGGCGACAGGAGGGAGGAGAGAGGCTCGGGGAGCAGACAGTTGAAGAGAGAGAGAGAAACTCGTGGAAGAGAGACAAATAGAGGTTATTGAGAGAGGGAGAGAGACTCGGAGAGAATCAGGATGAAGAAGACTTCGGGGAGGGGAGAGAGGCAGCGAGAGAGGGAGAGAGCGAGAGAGAGAGCGACATGGAGTAGGAAGAGAGGGGGTAGAGAGAGAGGGAAGGGGTAAGGAGAGCAGAGCAAGAAATATTTTGTTAAATCTTTCATTTAAAAAGGGGGGGGGGGTTACATAAAGCAAAGCATTAAAAAACACGAAATGATGAACGAAGCAAAGTGCCGACTACACCGAGCATCTTCTTGTTTCCTCTGATCGTAAAATAAAATAGAGAGAGGCGCAGACAGGAGGAGGGAGAGCGTGAGAGCGTCGCTGGCAGCGGCTACCGGTGGTTCAGAGCGAGATTCAGTGCTGCAGCAGCACTGGGTACAGTAGCCGAGTCAGCTGCCCACCGCTCACACCGCCCCACGGCAGACATCGCTGCGGGCACGGCCGCCTGCAATCCCCGTTGACATACTAATTTCTAGGGGGTTTTGCCACCTGTCCCAGTTTTCCATTGACTGCCCCATCTCTCTCCTCTCTCTCGAGTCAGCCGTCATGGGGAATCCGTGAGACTTCGTCTCCTCGGGGGAGGGCGGTGGAGGGGGGGGGTGCATTAGCAATATCGGTGTTTGCGTAGTGATAGTAAAAGATGCACCACTTAATTACGATGAATTTACGGTGCATTTACTAGCATCTCTCCACGGTATTGTGAGATATTCCTCTTCTTACCATGATACATCCCGGGGATGTTGTTGTTTTGTTTAAATCGTAGATCGGTCCCAGTAAACACGAAACGTCGGGGGCCCAAACGTTGACCCCAACGTTGGCAAGTGTAATGGGGAGCTGGCAACCCGTACCCTCCCCCCCCCCGACTCAACCGGCGCGTGCCCTCCACGTGCGGCGGAGCGGTGGCGCTGCGCCACGAACCCGACGAGAGATCCGGATTCGATTCCCGCACACGGCCACCAACACCAGTGGCGATTATCAGAACCCGGTCCTGGGTCGCCTGAGCCACAAATGAGTACCTGGTGCAGTGTGTTAACGCTCGCAGTGGGCAGACCGAGGCGGCCGGGCGTGGTGCTGGCCACCACGGGCAATTGGCCTTCATAGGTTGGTCGCGAACAGCACTTGCCCCAAGAGTATATTAAGGCTATATGGGGGTCTTTGTCTTTGCTAGTGTGCAGTGCTCTTCTCGCCAGCGATACAACTATCGCTCCTGCGATGTGTGTGTGTGTGTCGCGTGCGTGTGAGCGCGTCTGTGTGTGGGCGAGTGTAAAAGGAGATTCATTAGCACTCTGCCCAGTGTGCTCCGATGGGGAAGAGTGGAGGAGGATGGGCGGGGGGGGGGGAGGCTGTTGATGAATTTTCTTTACGTATATATGCCGCACGATGACGCCCGTGAGTGAGAGATTTACGAACGGCGAATATCCCCGTTGGCTCTATGAGAGACGAGACAGAATGAGATGGAATTAAAAAGAGAGGGAAGCAAGAGAGAGTGAGAACGAGCGAATGACAGAGCGACTGAAAGACAATGAGAGAGAATGAGTGGCAGACAGAGAGAGAGAGAATGAAGGAGAGGGTGGA